AGCTGCCCATAAAGCTGCTTCTTTCCACATATTCAGTATGTGTCACTTAGTATTCCCCTCATGGTTGATCACAATCCTTGATTACAGTGATTGCAGCCAGAATTTACCACTAGTTTTCCTACTGACTGTCACTGGGTTTCTTTAACTCCAGCAGAAAACAACATCAGGTTCATTTTTGGACTGTGGCTTTGTACACAGCTAGTAAGACACAAGTAAACAGTTCAAATTGTCTCAATTTTATGACAAATACATTTCTCATTTTGGCTACTTCCCCCCTGTTAGCCTCACAATAAAAGACAGTCAAATCACTTTTTCATCTGTCAAGAAAAAACAGTTAAGTTTCTTAAAGATCTCCTTATTTCCTAAAAGCTACATGAAAAAACATAGGATTGGAGCATGACTTGAGAGACAAATAATTTCTAAGGTAGAAAAACCTACACCTTCTCTGAAGGACAGCTTTTGGCAAGGACAGCTTTTACTATCTTTCTGTTCTCAGACCAAGTACATCCTTCATTGCTTATTTTAAGTTATGGTTTGGTTTTAGTCCTACCTGTTGTGTTTACTAGCTCTCCTTCTGACTTGCACTGGCCTCTATACCTCACACATAAAGGTTATGGCATTAACTTTAGTAAAGTAAATCCTCCTTTAAAAGGACACAAACCTTAAAAATATGAAAGATAATACTTCCAGCTTAATCTCACTCACACATACACATGCAAACATGTAGCTAATAAAAAGAGCTTCAATTCTGACTCCTTCTTACCAGTATTTCCAGTAAAAGTAACTACAGCAGCAGATAACTCAGGTATCATTTCCACACTGAAGTCACCATCCTCCTCTGACAAGCCACTGACGTTCTCTACCAGCATAATTAACATGCAATCTTTTATTGTGTCCTTCACATTTCCCAGCACAACTGCAGTGGGAAGCAGAGATCCTTCAGAGTTCTCCACTTGGCACGACTCCTGGGAAGTCTCCACTTGCCATGGCTTCACAATCAGATCAATCTTACTCAAGCAATGCTTTCTTTGCAAAACTTCTTGGGCATCTAGTCCCACAGAAAAACAGAGATATCACAGTAGAGTAGCATGTCAAATAATAGCAATAATATACCATTTCTGCTTGGAGCAATGCCCAGAGAGAGATCCTGCACCACCAAAGGTCTGTTTTTAAAAGGGAGCTTAAGCAGTGTAACATCCATAACATACCTTGCTCATTCTGAAAGGTGATGATCACTCGGTCATCCTTTTTGACATAGGACTCAATGGTCCCTCCACCAGACTTCCTTTTATTTTCAAAGTACACTTCTAAAATCTCATCTTCTATTTCCTCCCCAAAGGCAGTGGTTACTACTACAGCAGAATTCCTAGAGATTGTTTTCTCTGCTTCCAATTTCTCACGTGACTCTGAAATAAAAGATCACATCCTAATGCCTTAGGCAAAAGCGAAGAATAAAAACAAGCTTCCCATCTTCCAAGCTTTTGCACCACTTTTTGTTCAGATCACACTTATGGTCAAATAAAAGAACAGGGTAAGAACCGAAACAAGTTAAGCAGATCACCAGCGGGAGTTGCCATATCAACATGTAGGGAGGAAATGCTTCAGTTCATCACCAGGCAAGGACAGCAGAAGATAGAAAAACTTCTTCACAAACACACAATGAGGGAAACCAGTGCTCCCCATTCACAGTTCAGACACAGCAGTGGGTCACCTGGGGTCTATACTTGTTGGCTGCCACGGCTGCTCAGGTGTACCTGGGGTACACAGCTCCCGACGCTCCGGCACAGCACAGCAGCTGGGAAGGTCTGGGTAGGGACAGCCTTAGCCAGAAAAAAGGCCCACTGCTGTCCCCTAAGGAACTGACCTGTCTGAGGTGGTCAGTGAAGTGGGGGCTCTAAAGGAACTCACAGAAAGGAAAAAATGCATTTCTTTCTTTTAGCCTAGGATCACAATTCCTACACTGCATTAGACAAACAACACAAGCCACGAGGGTGGCCAGGGCACTGCTGAAGAAAGGTCCAGAAAACCAAAGGAGCAAGAATACAGTGTTCACCACTAGATAAGTGACACACTCACCTATCTTCTTCTGCTGAGTATGCACAGGAGTTTGTTTATTCTGGCAGATGGGAAGAGACACTTGGGTTTCATTAACTAGAGATAAATGACAATGGTTTCCCAGTTGCTGGGTACTTCAAGAAGAAAATGGACATAATAATGTACACCCAGGAGCTAACAGAGCTTGAATTAAGTTTCATTTGACACTGTCAGAATCACAGCCTTCCAGATTCCTCTTTTTACACCATATGTTGAACTGGTTACAGAAAGACTCTGAGCTCAAGAAGCCTCGGGCATAATGTCAGCACACAGTCATGCTGCACGAATGACCATGAGCAGGTCCTGCCATGCACTACAGCATTTTCCTCACACAAAAAACTGCACTGAACATAAGAAGTGCTGAGAACATCAGCCCTTGGGAGGGAAATGGCTTTAAAAATGAGACCTCTGGAAGAGCCTCTGTCAAGATGTGTTTGACCCAGCATGACTGCTCAGCTTCCTAGTTTAGAACAAGAGGAAATGCAGCTACATTAGAAAACAAAGGACAATGGTAAGATTGACCAAACTGCTTTTCCAGCCTGTGCCATCAGCCCTCACCTGTGCAATCACCCCGCTATGCACAAGCAGGTACTTGGCAAGCAGAGCTAAGCGAGCTGTGTGTGAATTAGCCCCGTGTATGTGGATTACTTCTGTGTGTACCGATAGTCACACATTGATTAGCTATGTATTGGCCACGAGTGTGTATTGATTAGTGCTGTGCGCGTGTATCAGCCAGGTGTGTACTGAGTAGCCGTGCGTGTATTGATTGTGCAGTTTATGTGTGCGTGCGCCTGTATTAGCCGTGATAGTGCGGTCGGTCTGTCCGGTGCCTGGGTTGTGGCTCGGGGGCTGCACCTCAGGAATTCCATCGTGTTTGGGATTCGGGAAGTGAAGGGGAGCGCTGGGGAGAAGAATCTAAGCGCTACAGCGCCGTTCGGCCGGCCCGGCCAAGCAAGCGGCTCCGCCTGCTTGCCCATGCCAGCTCCTGCGCAGGGCTCCCCGGGCCGGTGCCTCGCCAGCCCCGGAGCCCCCGCGGCTCCTGCCGCAGCTCCTACCTGGCGCCTCGGTCGCGCCGGCCGGCTCCGCCTCCTGCGGGAACGAGAGAGAGCGCTCAGCCGCGGAGCCTCCGCGCCCGGACCGCGCCCGCCCCACCGGCCCGCTCACCTGCGCGGGGCCGCCCGCGGTGACCTGCAGCGACAGCCGCTCTCCGGACCCCCACACGAGCTCGTGCACCGGCCGGCTCAGCACCCGCTCCCTCACTGCCAACACAGCGGGCACCGCTCAGGGGGGTGCGGCCGCCCCCCGCCCGTCGGAAACGCGGGGCAGCGCCGGCACCCCTCCCGCCCGGCCCGGCCGCTCACCCTCGGGGCAGGCGAAGCAGACGAGGATGTGCCCGGCCCCGCTGTCGCTCCCGGCTCGCAGCTCGCACTCGCCGCCGCCCGAGCGCCTCTGGCTCTGGAAGTAGCAGAGCAGCTTCTTCCTGAGCGCGGGCGGCGGCTCGGCGGGGCCCCAGTCCCCCCGCACCAGCAGCGGGAAGGCGCACGGCCGCTGCCCCGCCATGCCCGCCGCGCCGCTCCCCTCCGCCTTTCGCTTTCGCTTTCACTTCTCGGCCGCGGAGCCCGAGGTGCCTGGGGCTCCGCCCAGTGCCGGGACAGCTCCGCCTCCGGGCCCTTCGGGACGGGCGTGGGTCGCGGGCTCCGCCGCTCTGCTCACGGGGCACGACCGGTCTCTCACCGCCCGGGCTGCTCGGCCCCTTGTGCCTGCACAGAGCCGGACAAGAACCGAGTGTCACAGTGTTTTAGCCTCTCAACTTATAATGGCTAACCACTGGCTAACACTTGCTCTTCTGACTTATCCTTTCAAATGAAGTCATGATGCAAAGTAAAATTACCATTTTCATCTTTCTTTGTCAGAGATGCTTCCACAACCGTTGAAGGTTGCAACGGGTGTCTACTTCAGATCAACTTTTCAGCTAGCTGAGAAATTTCCAACCAAATGCTCAGGACTTCCTCTTGCAAAGGCTTGTTTTCAGCCATTTCATGCTGTGTATTTTAGTCTTGTGGCCAAATATGGGACAAATAGAATTTCCTAATGCACTGTCCTCCCACACCTAGCCCAGGAACATGCTCTCCTCCCTTGCTGTAACTCTGAAAACATTCCTGACTGTGATTGTAAATTGACTATATTTAATTTCAATGTACAACTATGATTAGAAAATAAAGGTCTTCTGTACAGCTGGTTAAAGGATAAAGGCTTCAGGAGCTCTCCATGACAGCCACCAGGACTCTGCTTTACAATTCAGCCTGCAAACTTTGGCATAGATTAAACATTGGAGCTGGTGAGTTACCCAATAGGAGTCTGACATCAGTGAACTGGCTTACAGGGACAGAAAGTGAAATGAGAGACCAAAAGTAGCTGAGATTTGATCATCACATCTGTCTTGGTCTGGGATAGACTTAATTTTCTTCTTAGTAGCTGGTATGGGGCTGTGTTGTAGATTTTGTATGAGAACACTGTTGACAACACACTGATGGTTTAGTTGTTGCTAAGAGTGTTTACTCCAAGGACTTTTCAGTTTCCCACGCTCTGTGAGCAAGCAAATGCACAGGAAGCTGGGAAGAAGCATGGCAGGACAGGTGACCCAAAGTAGCCAAAAGGACATTCCATACCACAGAACATCACACTCAGAACAGAAACTGGGGGCAGTCAGCTGAGGGGGACAATTACTACTCAGTGACAGGCTTAAAAAAAAAAAAAAAGTAAAAAAATTTTAAAAAGGGGGTGGGCATGGAGTTTAAACTGCCCCAAAACATGGTGTTGCAGGGAAGCTCCCAAATATGAAAAATATATACAGCTACATGTATTGCAAAAAGGAGGAAAAATCTGTACAGAAGAAACACACAAAGTATTTTCATATTTTCTTTATTAGTTGTGCTCAATAGCCTTAGCAAAATGGTTCAACTTACTAAAAATGATGTCTGTGTGACATACCTCCACACAGATAATTAGCAGGTTATTTAAGCACTGCAGAGTATCTTTATGATACAATTTAAACCTATATTGAATGCAATTGAAAGAATACAGTTTTATAGTTGAAAAACTGATTTAGAAGTTGTATTTAAGTTTAAGCACTATGGCAGGCACATAACCAGGAGCCCACTATTAGATATGACACTCTAACTTCCCATTGACTCCAACACAGCTCTCAGTATTCAGCACTTCTGCAAAGCTAAGCATCCATGTACCCCCTTGTACATGATCCATAGCTAATTTCACATGTAAAACCCAAATCACTAAGGCCATTTCTACCATGAAAAGAAGCAAAAGTCCATAGCCTTATCACAGCTAACAGTCATAGCTGCATACAAATTTTAGATTAGACGGGTTACATGATGCCAGCCATGCTGACAGACATCATAATGCAAAGCTAGGAGAAGTGCTTCATCTAATAAAAGCTAGTAGTGGATCTAAAGGTTTTGCAAATTTGAAAAAGTTATGGGGAAAAGTTCAAATCAGATTTGCTAGTAAAGCAAGATATACAAAATGCAATCTCACAAGAACTAAATACTGTAAAGGCTATATATAGAGGGAAGTAAAATATTTGTGAAAAGAACATACATTGTTTGATGAGAAAAAATTACTTTTCTTACCTAACTGTGATTGTTTTTTACCTAACAAATGATTTAAGTACAGTAGTTAAACAAAGTAACTTCCCTCAGAGCTTGAGCAGTACATTAACTGCTGTATGCTTAGTCATTACACTTGAGAGTTGATAGATTTTCTTATTCAATTCCTTTTGCTTTCAATTCTGATCGAACGCGCTGCAGATAAGAAGAATCCGGGTAACCAAACCTAGGAGAAAGAGAGAATTGTTTGGCCTACTTCTGCAATGAAGAACTTGACAATTCTACAGAACCATCTCATCAAAATCTTTTTAGAAATTTCTTTATAAATTGTATGCAGTTCTTGCCCCAGAGAGAAAACAGACCCGTATTTCCAGTCACAGAAGTGACACAGAGCATAAAGCTACAAACTTAAGGAGCTGCTACATTTTGTTGTCCAAATTGACACTAAGAACTTAAATAAAATTCAAAGTGTCAAAGTGTTATAGTGTCAAAGCTGCCTGGGGTGTCCCTTGAAAATGATAGTGTTTGGGTACAGTATTTGAAAAAGAAAATCAGACCTGAAGAACATCCAAGTCAGCATTCAAATCAGAAACATAATGGCTGGCACCTTTGGACTTGAAGTAGTGCAACACCAGAACTGCATATGAAGCAAATAATATACAAGAGAGAGAATTTGCACAGAGGATAAAGTAAAACTGATACTTTTGCTCTTTTAATGATCCTAGCCCAGTCAGGAGGATCTAGACACAAGCCTTTAGAGCTTGCAGGACACAACCTGCCCCTTAGAGGCTGCAACAAGCTTAAGGACTGGTCCAAGATTCCCTCTTGTCTCCGCTGCAGGCAGCTCACACTCAGCACCGGTGATTGCTCCTTTCATTTAAGGGCTGCAAGTCCTCAAGAACTACTGGATACAGCTGTCATCGACTGAGAAAATCTTCTGACAGCTTGAATGGCCAAAATGGGGTAACCTTTCTTATGGCTGGGGCTGGCACTGTGTCCTGTGCTCTGACCCGCTAAGTGCTGCACAACTCATGGCTCCTAGCATCTAAAAGGACACGACCATATCTGTACTGCAGTCTCACTTCCTGCTGTTAGCTCTCTTAAGCAGAATTTCAAATAGTGCTTTATAAAGTCCAAGTGCCATCTTTACTGGGATCATAATGGACCAGCACCTCCTGATGTAGAACAGCAGGTACCAGGCACAGATCAGTCCAACCTTAGATGTCATCAAGAGCTTGTTGTCCTGTAGGTTCTAATCAAAGCAATTATTAACTAAGTGCCTTACAAACTCATTGGTGAATGAGTAGTCTGAGGGGCAGCAGAACACTAAGATCATCCTTGTTCCAACTGTCCAAACAGGGGAAGGTGATTAACATCTGGTTACATAGAGCATTCCACAATCACTGTTAGTGACAAAATCTGAAAGCTCTAAATGTGGAAAATATTCAAGGCAGTCTTCCTGACACATCTGAGTAACAACAGTATTGCATAAAGACAAGACTGCTTACAGGGTAGGTCCTCCCATCGTGGCAGTTTTGTGGTGAATATCATTCCATGTGATAACATTCTCTGCACCAGTAGTATGTGACTGCCCCACTGTGAAAATCAATTTTTGGTTAAAGGCCCTTTTGAGGAGCTGCAGAATTTCTCGCCCTTCCTCATTGTCAGGTAAATACGCTGTTCGGTGAACTGGCCCATAAGGCTGCCCTGGGTTTGGATGGCTGCTCTGTTTTGTAGAAAAACAAAACAAAACCACATTGTATATCATAAATCATTCTGAAGGACATAGCATGACTGATAACTGATTCCAAGTTTTTTTCTCTTTAGATACTTTCTTTCACACAAATTTAATTCACACTTTCTTGTCATCGCTCATGCATCCATTGTTATTTTTAAATCTGGTTTTCCCTCTTGTCTCTACAAATGCCTGGTGCTGCACCTGTGACCTCTTAATTTACTACATTCTCAGTCCTAGTCACGAATCCAAGCACATAACATAGGGAGATTTCACACCTGGAAAGCCCTTACCACATATGTATATTTGTACACTGGTGCCCACAGCAAAGAGAACACCCCAGAAATGCTCATTATACTTGCAAAACTTTGCTTATATGATATCACTGCATACCTTTCAGTTCAGTTATTCCTACTGTACAAATTAAAGACAGGTACCTCTGTCCTGGTGCACATAAAATAGAGGCTGATCATCTGACCATTTAATTCCTACTGTATTTACTTAATCACTCAAAAAAATACTGAATTAAACACTTGCAGATTTGTACAAAACAAAGAAATGTCTTCCCTGAACATGCACTAAAGTAATGGGAAGATAGTTAATTTTATATTCAATATTGGTTTTGATGTGGGAAAAATATCTTTAAGAAACATTTAAGTATACTTACAGTTTGAATACCACCTTTCATATTATAGTCAATTACAATAGTGCCACAATAGGGATAACCAGGAAGAGAGGTATTAGTTGTTGTATTTGACATTGTTCCCTCCGGTTGGTTTCCCATCAGGACTCCACAGACAGTATTACAAACTGGACAAGCTTGTTTGTAAGTCATGGCTCTGTCAATGCAAATTTTGCAAAATGCATGTTTGCACCTTTCTAGTATTTCTTTATTTTCAATTGTATCCCTGCAAATAGGACACTCATCATCTTCTTTTTCTTCTGTCTTTGCCTGAGTCTGTCCTTCAGAAAAAAGGTTATTCTTTTGCCTAACACTGGACTTCTTAGATGCTCCTGTAGCTTCTTGAGAGCTGAGGTCAGAGAACAGTAGTGCTCTATTTCTAGTTTGTGTCCCTTCAGTGTTAAGAAGGGACTTAATGTTCTCTTCAGCAGCATAAAGATGGTCTGGTAAACCCATTATGATTAACTTATCTTTGTTCTTCTTAAGTTGTACATTAAGATCTTCAAATTTCTTTGCATTAAGTAGCATGTTTAAAGTTTTCTTCTGATCTTCTGAAAGCTTCACACTGATGATTTTTTCTCTTAACATTGCAGAGGCACTCTGAAATTCACTGATAAAACTTTCAGTAGCATGTGATGACAGATCAGAAGTTTTGGATTTAGGCCTAAATATTATGACCTTCTGGCCATATGAATTCTCTTTTATTTTTACCAGTGTATCAAATTTGCCATTTATGTTTTCAATTTCTTTGCTTAGTATGGTTTCCAACAATTTAAACACAGAAGCATCAACTTCAACTCCATTCCTGTATTTGTACCATTCAGATGATATTTTTATATTCTTTTCAGCTTGGCTGTTCTCACCTTCCTTTGCTAGAAATTTTTGGGCAGCTAAAATCTCACTCCCTGGACCACGGAGTAGCAACTGATTCCCTTCCTCTTTAGCAAGAAGATTTTTAAACTTTTCATTCAATTTCATTATTGTCTCTTCTAATGTGTAACTGTTTGTTATGGGAACTATTTCCTCTGTCAGATTTTCTGTAGCTTTCTGAAAAGTTCTGATAAAATAATCACTAGCTGCTTGTAACAATGCAGGACTTTGATCAGAAGATATGTGTATTAATGTGTTATCCTCCTCATGACCTTTAGTTTTTATATGTGCTCCAAACCTTTTGTGTAGTTCTTTGATTTCTTCTTTGCGGGCATGACTAAAATACTCATAGAGAGTTGTCACAACTGGAATCTCAACAACTTCTTCAGTATTCAGGCTATTTTCATCCTTCAAACCATTCTTACATGCAGAATGTGAAAAATCATGGTTTGAGTCTTTGCCTGCAAGGATATCTTCAAAATAGTGATAAGCTTTTTCAATATCTGTAAAATCTCCTGTCAATTTCTCAGAGCCATCCACGGCAGGGTTTCCCTCTCTCTTTAAGTTTGGACACATAATGGTAATCTTCTCCCTTTGGTCTTCAGTGAACACACTGGTATTCAAAGTAGCAGATACTGTAAGAAATATCTAAAGAAAAGACAAGAATACATCAACATTAGTTTTCTCTAAGGTTCTCTGCTTGCTACTTCTGTATTTTCAGCAAGGAGAAGCTCTGTCCATCCCAGTAGTGCCAGATTACTACACACAAGTTCGCACACAGTATTTCTTTTATGTCACATACACTAACAGTACAAACAGGTGAGTAACACAATCTACTTCTAAGTCAGCAGCAAAAATGAAATGCCTTAATGTCACCAGCATTGCAGGAGGAAAGACAGTAACTCTGCTACTTAGGCTGAGACTGTGACCAGCACTCTCTGCTCCAACCTCTGACAGCAGACTTAGTAGAACTAAAGGCAGGCAACCTCTGTGGCTAAGCTCATTCATTATGTTAGGTGCTTTTCCCATCATTACCAGGCCCTAGAAGTCCTGCACACCAAGCAAACAGACAAAGAAAACAGAAAAAGCAGACAAAGCAAACAGATTTTTTTCTTTCCCTCCCTAGCACTCTCAAGGTTTCTTGGCACCAGGCTGACTGGTGCCCTCCTTACTGGCCTTGAAGGTCCCTGGTACCCTGCCAACCAGGTGCTGTTGGCCCCATCCCAGAGCAGGCAGCTTTAATCAATCAGATACAACTCCTAACTGGGAATTCAGGCCACAGCTGTGGCTGGACAGTGAAACCCAGAAGGACCCCTCGGTGGCCAGGAAGACCTCCTCTGCCCTCTGCTTCCTTTGAGGACTGACAGGATGACCCAGATGCTTTTACGTGTTTTCAAGTCTAGATCGTGATTGTTCTATCAATACAGCAAACCAAGTATTAAGATAAGACATGATTTGCAGAGGGTCCAGGTAACTAGAAACCATAAGAAAAGCTGTGCAATCAAACACAGTACTACACTACTTACAAAACTGTCCTACACCGATTCTGCTTGTAGAAATCCTGTGGCACTCTGATCATTAACTCTATGCTTTCTGAAAAGCAAAAAGCTTTAGTTGTTGAGGCCTTGTGAAAGCAATGTCCTAGAACAGAGACTGGACGGAGTTAAAGAATAAAGTAGGTGTTTATTAGAAAGCCTCAATGGATACACCTTGGGCAGCACAAGAGCCCAGCCAGGGCTACACCCAAGATGAATCCAAAATGGTCACAAAATGGATGACCAGTCCTGAGGTCTCACAATTTTGCAAGTTCTGGGCCATTTGCATATTGGAGTTAATTGTTCAATTAGTCCATCATTGTTTATGCTCTTGGGCCTGAAATTTGGATCATTTGTCCTTGGTCCCTAGCTAGAGAAGGAATTGTTTTGTCTCCCAACTCTGTGAAGAGAGCTTACTATCCCTTAATGTGAAGCTCAGAACTACACACTAAAGCAGTACAGAATCTGAAAAATGTAAAAGCTAAGACCTGAGGCATCATTGTAACTACATTTTAGTGCCATTGTTATTCTGCCAAGGAACACCAAAATAATCTGTCTATTCCCTTAGAGCCAGGTTATTCAGACACAATGTGTTTTAACACGATCTCTGAATTACATTTCATTGTTCTTATAAATATCAGACTTCATAGTTTCCACTTATTATCTTTATTTAAAATTTTCCCAGAAGTCATACTTTGATAACTCCAAGAGTTAGGGCAGAAAACAGGATTCTGAAAAATAATAACAAACATGTTCACTTCTGTACTTCACACAGACAGAAGGATAGGGAAATTTGCAGTACTGATGCCAGGTAAACACTACACTAGCACATTCTATACTTCAAAAGCTACGCCTATGTTACCAAGCAAAACAGGGTTAAACCCTCTGAGCCAGATACCAGTGTCTTGGCAGAGCCACATCCACACCATGTTGCCCTATCCCATGTCCCTAAACACAGCTGATCTTTTCTGTGTAACTTTAAGTTCAAAGTGTCCGAAAGCATGTTTCTGGTGCTACATCACATCACAGCAGACTTCTTTAATGCTGAAGAGACGGGGATAATTAGGGTTGCCTCAAGATGCAAACCATGTTGAAAGAGTAGGTGGAAAGGGGGAAGAGTAGGTGAAAGGTATATTGGTGAAATGATCCAAATCTCATACAATTCTTCTACCTTTTGGGAGCAGCCCTTGGTGCATACTAACCCCTGAAACCTGCCAGAGTGCTGCTCTAGGGAATAGTGGTTGGCACCTGCCAGAGTCAGGCTGGAACACAAGCTGCCTGTAAACATCTGTAGACTGATCTCTGGTCTGGCACTCAAATGTCACTCCTGGCCCCCATTTCATTGACTAAGAGCACACAACCGACATCTTTTTTGGCACGAAGCATTGAAGTGCAACAAAAAGAACTCATGGAACTACACACAGGGCAGGCTGTGACATTGCTCTTCCTGCTGTACCTTTTTGGTAAGGTCTTCCTTTGCTGTGGCCCCATAGCCTCCGCTGTCCCGCTGCTCCTGCTGGGGCAGGGAAGGGCTGGCAGCGACCTTGTTGTAGCTGGCAGAGGCCTGCGCTGCAGCCCGGCTCTTACCCGGCTCCCCTTCTCCCGACAGAATGACTATTTCCAGGCATCTTGCACCGAGCTCCAAGGTGTGTTTTGTGCGGGATTCCACATTCCTCCTGTCTGCCGTAATTTCAGAATCACAGGACTGTTATGGCTGGAAGGAAGGTCCAAGATCATCCCACCCCGGGAGACTCCACGACCCTCCTGGGTAGCCTGTTCCACTGCTCTACCACCCTCGACGTAAAGAAATTCTTCCTTATGTGAACTTAAGGGGAAGTTTCTTGCGTTTTAGTTAACGCTCTTCGTCCTGTCGCTGGCTACCACCGAGAAGTCCGGCACGCCTTTGAGATATTTTTATGCATTAATGAGTTCCCCTTTCAATCTGGACAAAGGCAGGTAAGGCTGATAAAGTTACCTGCAAACTGATGGCCACCAGCGGCCCTGGAGCGCCCTGCCCAGACTCAAAGCCGTGCCTCGCGGCTTCCCCAGTCCCCTCACAGCCGCCCCCGCCAGCCCGAGCCGCGGCCGGCCCGCACCGTGCTCCTTAGAGACCCGTACCTTGCTCCTTAGAGAACTGCACCCAGTAGGTGCCGGGCCGGGGGCCCGCGCACACGTTGCACTCGCCGCCCCCCGACCGCTTTCCCGACTGGAAATACGCCTGGAGCTTGAGGATCGCCTTGTCGCCGGCGGCGGGCGCGGGGCTGAGCCGCACCAGCAGCCGCGCGGCCGCCATGATCCCGCCCCGCGCTCGCTTTCGCTTTCGCTTCCCTTCCCTCTCCGCCGCTCGCTTTCGCTTTCGCTTCCCGCTCCGCCCGCGGCTCCGAGCGCTGAGGGTCCGCCCTGAGCCGCCCCATGGGGATCGTGCAGGTAGGGGAGCGGGGCAGGGGGCAGGAGGGACGGGGCCCGGGCTGCGGCGGCTCCCGGCGGGGCTCCCGGCACAGAACAGCCCGGCCCGGCCCAGAACGGCCCGGCCCGGCACAGAACGGCCCGGCACAGAACAGCCCGGCCCGGCACAGAACAGCCCGGCCCGGCACAGAACAGCCCGGCCCGGCACAGAACAGCCCGGCACAGAACAGCCCGGCCCGGCACAGAACAGCCCGGCCCGGCACAGAACGGCCCGGCCCGGCACAGAACAGCCCGGCCCGGCCCAGAACGGCCCGGCCCGGCACAGAACGGCCCGGCCCAGAACGGCCCGGCCCGGCACAGAACGGCCCGGCCCGGCGCTCGGGAGCGGCTCCTCCCGGCCTCTCGCTCCTGCGGGCCGGTCGGAGCCGGAGGAAGCTGAGGGGAGCTTCACCCGCAGAGCAGCTCCGAGCAGCATTTTAAAAACTAGGAAACTTCGTACACGTGTTTGAAAAGCTGCTGGTTTGATTTGAAACACAATCTCTCTTGTAAGAAGGCAGCCCACATACTTTGTTGCTTGTAACATTTACTTTCCCTTTTTTTCTTTTTTTTATTACAATAGAGTTACGTTGCAGATTTCTTCAGAGGGAAGCTCGGTTTAGGTAAGCCTCTCATTTAGCGTTGAAAACTGACAGCTGCAGCCAGCAAACTGGAAAACAAAAGCCAAAAGCAACCTGAAATTCACAATTAATGTGAAATAGACACGGTTGTGAATCAACATTATTATTAATTACTTCAACAGGACTTGCTTGCATTTCTCTTTTAGAAGCAAGAACTCAGAAGTGTTTTGATGAGTCGGCATATATACTTTATAAGTGCAAAACGTCAGAGTTTTTATAAGCAGGTAGTATACCCCGGAGGAAAGTATGACTAAACTCGCACAAATTGATTTAAACTAATTAACATAACTGCTGTAGTATAGTACTGCTGACATCTGCCACGAGGGGGCTGTACAGCCATAGTAATAATGTAAAAACTGTTCCTTTAAAAACGTGGTTTAAAAGCCTTTCTGAGTTCATACGAAGTTCCATACAAAGAAGGAACTTGCTTGTGGGCTTTAAGTGCAGATTAAATGAGACTCACAGAACTAAAACTGAGTATAGGATCTCTGTGGCACAGTTAAATGAACCTCCTTGGGTTTTCCAAACCTCTGAAAAGGGGAAAGAAAAGATTAGAGTGTGTAAAAAAATATTGTTTAGCAATGACAGTAGGATAAAATTGAGACCTATAAACCACATTTCTAAATAAAAATAAATATTTTGATAGCAATACCTTCTCTTTCACTTTATATTCTGTATCCTAGGGTCAAGCATCGTAATGGATGAGGTCAATTTGATGATCCCCATCAGTAAAGATGCCTATGAAGCTCTTAAGAGAAGAGAAAACTGTCTCAATAATCTCGTTTCCAAAAAGTTTGCTTGTAGGTTGGCCTTCAGAGAAGCAACAAAAAGCACTGCTGAAGTATACAGAAAAAAAATGAAGTCGGGCATTGACATTCGTGTTTTTAAGGATGATCTCACAAGACACAAGGTCGATATTGTGGTAAATGCAGCCAATGAGTATCTTGAACATGCAGCAGGTCTTGCTCTTGCCCTTGTAAAAGCTGGAGGGCCAGAAATAAAAGAGGAAAGCAAGCATTATGTTCAAAGGTTTGGAAGAGTCAAAGTTGGTGATATAGCAGTGACAGGTGGAGGGAAGCTTCCTTGTAAGGGTATTATTCATGTGGTTGGTCCAAAGTGGTATGCTCACAAAAAGGAAAGATGTTGTTACCTTCTTCAGGAAGCTATTTTGAATGTTCTGCGTTATGTTAGTGCTCCAGGAAAGGCTTTGAAGTCTGTGGCTATCCCAGCAGTGAGTTCAGGTATCTATGCCTTCCCAATTGATTTGTGTTCTCAAGTGATTGTAATGGCTGTAAAGAAATTTGTTGAGGCAAGTCCACCAAGCTGTCTCAGGGAAATCCGCCTGGTGAACATTGATGAGTCTACAGTCGCAGAAATAAAGAAGGCCTGTGAAAAGTTTCTGGGTGATAGCAATTCACTTGAAGACACTGAGCCACTTTCGCCAAGCCAGGCTGTAACTCACCTCAAACTTGAAAACATTCGCTTGCGCATCATAAAACAAGACCCTGCAAATCTGAACGTAAGTCTGTCCTGTAATTTGTGAAATGTGGTGTTGCCTCCAAGTCTTCGCAGGATCTGGAGCCCAAGAGTTCAGAACACATTTTGTATCAGTCCTCTAAGTGGTTTTCATCTCAGTTTGATGAGCATTTACATGTGGCAATTAAATCATAGTAGCAAGGAGTTGGTTTTTGTCTAAATTGGTATGAACTTTAGAATGTTTTTATTTTGTTCTTGTATACAGGCTGTTGTAATAGGAAGCAGCTAAAGATTGAATGACTTAATAATACATCTCTATGTTAAGGTTTATCTTCTTATAATGCAGGAATTCACATTTTATCATGTACTCTATAGAAGTATTCTCATTTTCTGTCTTGCTTTTTTTCCTATAATTTATGTTCTCATAACTCCATTAGTGGAATTATTCAGCAAACACTGAAACAGAAGAAAACTTACACAAATGATGTGCACCTTACCTTTAAATAGAGCATTATTTAAATTTATTAACTTTTTAGGTAGAAAATCTAATATAAAATAGATGGCCGCAGTCATAGGAATTAAACAGAGCTCTTAGACTACAAGGTACATCACAAGAATGACATTTACTTTTAGCAAATACTACATCTTAAAAAATAAATATATTTTTCTTTTAAAGAAGTCTTATAATTGAAAAGGAGGTTTGGTTTTTTGGTGTAAGAACAAAGGATTGCAAAGTTGACCTTGCAGAGAATTTTATTAACCATTTCTACAGCACTGAAAGATACACATGCCCTGAAGACTGTGAGCAAAACATGTTCTTGTGTCTTTAGATAATATTCAACAATTAACGTTAGAACAATTACTGCTGTTAGCAGCATTCTGTGAACAAGTTTTTTGCGTATTTGAAATACAGGGCACCTACTATGGGAATCTGTTTTTTCCACTGGGAAAAATCATAGCTTTGCAGTTCCCTTATGTGTACTCACACTGCTGTTTTGGTGATGTGTCCTTGCTACCCTAAGGGGATGACAGCCACATCCATAGTTCTCTCCTGCTGATAAATGGCACGTGGGTCACTTAGTGAGAGTAATAATTCTGTTCAGTGCACTCTTGATGACTGGATCAGCTTTGTGCACACTGTGGGTTTCTGAACTGCCACTGCAAAGTGCATACTTGGATGTATTCCAGTGCTGTAGTAGTAAATAGTAGGAAAATTCAGCTGATCTGTGGCAGTCATGCCTCTGTACAGGAATTGTGCTTAGAAAGAATGCTCTCTATAATAGCAAAGCTTGCAAATAGTTAGTCTGAAGTACACTGAAATTTGCACTCTTTCCTTGCAGAATACAGCTATTGTTAACTTCCTGAATGCAAAGGGTGAGCCTTCCTCTGAGACTTCAGAACGACTGCTGGAAAAAGAGGGTGCAGCTTTTCGGAAGGAATTTCAGCATCTGAGACATCCAAAGGGTTTTAAGGAGCCCGTGGTGGTCAAAAGGCGTGAGCCGCCCTCTACGTTTGTACTGCACATGGCACTGCAATACCAGCATCCGGTATTACAGCTTCAGGTGACTATTGCTTACTTTGGATCTTAATGGGTTTTCATGTTGGGTTATGTGAGGACTAAAAGATTTTGTTTTGCCTGCAGGAATTGAAGGATGCAGTGAAAAGATGCCTGGGTTACTTTCAAGACCACTCATCTCCCTCAGTGTCTTTTCCAATAAATTGGTCACCAGAGCTGCCTGTTGACATAGCAGCAGAGACCATGATTGAAGCAGTTTTAAATTTTGCCAGGGCACATCCTACGAAGAGAGAAGTGCAGTTTGTTGTTTGCCCAGATGACCATGCTGCCTATGAGGTAACCAATTTGTTGTTAACTACCCGTAAGGAAGACAGAAAACTCTAAAAGTATTTCCATAGATGACTGAAAAGTATGATAGTCTGTTCTGTACTAACAACGATTGTAAGCAGCAGATCCTTTTGTGAAACTATTACTCTCATAAACAGATAATCAATATTTGCATATACTTTCTCTTCACTAAGCTAGAAGTCTTCAGCCTGTAGTCTGATGAAAAGGGGAGAGAACTTTAAAATTTTCATGTCTGTCAGTGAATGTATAAGAAGGGGTCTACTCTTAACTCATTAAGGAACAAACATTCCTCCTCAGGAAATGTTTCCAGTCAGTTTTGGGTTTTTTGTATAGAGGTCCTAAGGCAAAATACTATCAACATATATGAGCTAGCATAATGGAAGGATTTCAAGTAGACAGGCAGGAGAATAGTCTGAATTTTAAAACTGAGTAAGGATGCATCAGCATTAAACTGCAAGTAATGAACATCTTTATCTTATGTGATAGCATGAGATAGGCCACAACCACAAGGAGTTGGTAAAGGTGCCATTCAGCGTGTTAGGAGATGCAGAAGAACAGGAATGCATTTGATATTGCCAGGAATAACATTTTGAGAAGAGCCTACAAATGCCAGTGTTAACAATTTCAGAATCAGGGGTGGGGGTGTAAACTGCTTGTCTAACAGAGGTTTGAAGATACTAATTGCATATTTGATAAGAGATTGCAAACTGCTTCCAAACTTTTATCTTTCAAGGTTGTCCAGAGAAAATTTCATTCAGCAAAATACAAACTGGAAAACAGAAGTGATCCTTTGAGTAAGTAATGAGCAGAAGGGGCATTTCCAGTAAATGAGTACTCCCAATTTGATAATCTGTAATCACATTCCTTTAAAATAGGGAACTTAGTATTTACATATGTGTCTTGGGGAGAGGAAGAAGCGAAAACTCATGAGCACTTTGTATTTTTACATTTATAGGAGCGGAACTGCACAGCTCCTTTTAAGATTTAAAACCCATTGTCTTTGCCTAACATCTTAGAAGTAATTGAGTGAAAGGTAGATAAATTCTATGTGTGTGTGTATCCTGGAAACATTACCTCCTTGTAGCTGATCTCTTTTTTGAGCATACCAGAAGAGTAGTGTGCTTCTTGCACTTTACAGCTGGGATTACAAGTAGGAATTTGTGTCAGGCCTTGAAAGCTCCTCACTCTTCCAATGCACTTGTGTTAAAAAATATACCTATATCTTCCAGGTACAGAGTCAGGCAGTCAGACTGCAAAAGAGCATGCAAGCAGTAAACCCGTGATTGAACTTAAAGGGTTCACACCCACAGCACTGGGAGCAGCAGAATCGTGGCTCCAAAATGTAATGAAAATTCAGAAAGATTACCATGCTGTTATTGAAAACAACTACATATTTTGCCTTGGTAAAGAGGAGCTTGCAGAACTCTCTCGAGACCAGCTTTCTAGTGTATATGTGTCAGAAGAAGTGAGAGATGGACGAGCAAAACTGGAGCTTCAGGGCCCTCCTGATGTTTTGATTGATGCAGTGCTCACAACTGAAGAATTACTGCTTCGTGTGCAAAAGAAGGCTATTGCTGAACAAGAGAAACTGCTCTACTCAATGTGTATGTAAATAGTGCCTAAACAAGGTTAAGTATGAAGCAACGTGTATCTCTGTATTGCTGAGAGTGGACAGACATACTGAGTATTGCTTTAATTACTGACATCTCTGTCCTTTCACCATGTGAGCCCCTGGAGGACCATTTGTTAGCTGTGGTCACTCACTTGGCACTATTCCCACTAGGGCACAGTTTATACGGGGGCTGCCCATTATGTATACCCAGCTGTAGTGGAGCTCCCTCCAGGATACCTTCACTTTAAAGCCTGGCCACTGGAGATACACAGAATTTGCACTTAACACACCCCTTTGCTGAGCTCTTGCTGGCTACAGCTGGACCACCGTTGCAGGGCTCAGCAGTAGACTTGTTCTGCAGAGCTGTCATGAACAAACGATACAATTAATATCATTACAGAAAGCTACTGAGTGATCAATTTTAATTCATGTTTTTGATAGTCATTCAATATAGACACCTTTATATGAAAGCTCAGCTGTGAAGAGGTGTCATGGAGATCATAAATTGCTTTTCCTTAGTTTCTTCTCTCCTGGTTTCTTCATAATAAATGTATATATATATATATATACATACATACTAGTTCCTCTCAATATTAGCCTCTGACATTACTTCAGAGAACACTTAACACTCTTTGTTCTTAACTAAACCACCAGCTAAAGGAGTGGATCTGCCCCCCTTGCCTTTGCTTCAGACATTATGATATATGAAAATTTTACTCCCTTATTCATATCCAGGCCAAGCAGAAGCAGGCCCGCTTTCAGGAGACTTTCACATGACAAGTACCACTGACTACTTCCAGATTTCACCGGTGGAATGCTACCTCCAGGAGTTTAAAGACAGAGAGAAAGAGTTTGAAAAAGCTGGACTTCGTGTTCTCAGGGTAAAGAGGATATTCATGGAGACACTGAATATCAGCTTATGTATTTGAACTAACATATTTAATGTAAGCGTAAAAAATTCAGATTAACTATTTCAATGCATTGCTTTTAAAAATTAAGATCTATCAACCTCATCCAGTCTTTAATCCTAATGAAAAGTATTTTAAACTTCATGCAAATAATCAAAAAGTGATTAAATTCTGAGAAGTCTTTTATATTGTACTGTGTGTTCTCCCTCATACTTCATGCTTCAAATATCCCTTTAAAGGACTCTAGAGAAATATGAGATTGGTAGGGTAAATTAAGTTCAGCATTCCAGGACATTAATTCAGTGTCTATTTTCTTTATGTAAGCTTGACACTAAAAATTTGCCAGAGTTCTGATATGATTATGTGTTAAAGATGGAATTGTACTTGGGTATCACTGCTTTACTGAACAGGAGGTGGACTCAAGCTCTTCAGCACAGCTGAAGTACTGGGAGTCAGTACACCAGGAAATATTCCCAGTGATTTCAGTGGGAGGCATGGGATAGTGGTATGATTCTTTTCCTTGAATCAGCTTCAGATACTTTGTCCACTATGTGGTCAATGCATATAGGCTAAAGCAAAGGTTCTTCCATTGAAGAACATAGCCTGAATAAAAGCACTTATGGATTTCATAATTGGTCTCCATCTGTCTATGCTAAGATGTTATTTATGTTACAGATTGAAAAGATACATAATCTACTTCTATCTGCTGCATTCCAACAAATGAAAAAGAAAGTAGATGGTAGCTCCAAAACAACTTGCAAGTTGTACCAGGATGTTCCTGCTGACTTCTGTTGCTCAGTTTGCCAAACTGGATTTCACAGGATGTATTCTCCACCAAAAGGTAATAACTTGCTTTGGCATCTTTAATCAGAGTGAAGTGACTGACTACTAAACTCAAGTTAAAATTAGAAAAAATGGCATTCCTAAACAAGAACTGTTTTTACTTGTATTTAGATTGGTATTACTTTAATTTGAGTATTTACTTTATTATATACAGTAAGGTTTCCCTTCCTGATACTGTATAGCCAGCAAGGCTCTAGGAAGATAATTCAAGCCTAGCCCAAACACTGGACAGAATTATTAGTACACAGGAAATTCCATGTCCAAGTTTTATTTTGTTGCATCACTGTAAAGAAGGTCAGTGTCCTTATGTAGCTGCTACAAACATGCATTCAGCAGCTTGGTGCTCTAAAGCATGTTCAAGGGCATCACAGAACACTGAGGCCTTTTTTCTTTATCAGAGTCCCTCATACATGAGGACTGAAGTATGAGTAATATATTTATTTTATATAAATCCTTTAGACCTTGATGATTCAATCACTGGATTAAGAGATAAATCTGAGCAGTTATCACTGGAGTAGCAGTTACCTGGAATGGCCATCAACTGTCTTTGCTCATGGTTTCAGTGGGAAGTCAGTGCAAGCATCAGAGCCACTCCATGAAAATTAACTTCCAAAAGGATGGCACACATTGAGCAGTCACATCACTTGTAACCCAGAATCAAGCAGCAGTCTCTTGGAACTACCACCCTGAAAGAACCAACTGCTAAATGCTTTCTCTTTTGAAAATTTTTCTTTCTCTTTCCAGAACAAAAATACGGAGCTGGCATCTACTTTACAAAGAACCCGAGGTACCTGACCAAGGATAAAGCTACACAGAAAATGGATTCTAAAATGTACGTGTTTGAGGCTGATGTAGTAACTGGCTCATACACTACAGGCCGACCATCTTGTATTATGCCACCAGCACTGGACAGGAATGCCTTTACACTATATGACAGTTTAGTAGATAGATTGGTCAGTCCTGAGGTCTTTGTCATTTTCAATGGTTTTGCAGCCCTTCCAAAGTATTTGCTGACTTGTTCCCCAATGACTGAGAGGTATGTAGGTCTTGGAGGAAACGAGCAGGATCCTCAGTGGGAATAAAGCAGAACTGTAGCTATGGTGAAGACCCTCTGAGAACAAAGTCTAGTGCTTAGATTTAAGAGGATGCTCTGCTTAGTAGTGTGCTATGGTCAGAGCGCTTCCTGGAAAGCTTTCTGAAATATTTGTGAACAAAATAGTAAGTTATCATCTTAAGGAGATTAGGACAAAATAACCTGTGAATGGAAGCAGAGGGGAAAACATTCCAAAATACAGTGTAACATTTAGCATTAACATTTAACATACCTGGTCATTTACCTTATTTCTTAAAGTGATCTCAGCTTGTGAATGTACACTTGATGTGTGTATAGCCTGTCATTCTTCCACTGCATTTTCTTAATCTGACATACTGCATATATCAGGGAAACACAAGAAATCTTGGTTGTGCCTTTTGAGTCTTAAGTTTTCTTTTGACTTAAGACAGGAGAATGTAGCAGATAAGAGCTGTTTTCTGCTTAGGGACATGCTATTATATACAGTTATGACAAATGTGAGGCAATACTTCATTATTTCTTACAATGGTTGCTATACAGTTTTTATTAGTTACTTCAAGCACTGTAGATGCACATATTCAAAATAAAAACTATGAATGTCACTATCTGTTAACTTGTATTTGTTTGTAGTCTTAAGAACTTATGATTTGTACTGTACATGAACTTCAGATTTCTCAGCAGCATTCAATCTATTTGAAAGGTTACAAAATAGTAGAGAACTGGTTCAGGCTACAGCTTGAAATTATTTTTCAATTAATCTATCTTTACCAACATCTTTTAAAGATTACATTGTCAGCCTTGTAGCTGGGAATCCTCACATTGCTTCTGCAGTGATCTGAAGCAAATACACAGAAAAGGCCAAGAGCTGTTACAGTAATTCCATTGTAAAAGTGGATTCAGTCCAGCACTTGGGTACCTGAAAACTTCCTCTAGTAAAGCCTGCTGATGGGGAGCAGTCTGATCTCTAAAATATAAATTAAATTAGCATTTAATAAAACTTTTTGAAATAATTTGTTACTGGATTCCCAGGATGCTTGTACTGCACCTGCAACTCCTGAGCTAGTAGTTGTGCTAGGATCCATTCACAAGTCCAAAAGAAATTAAGTTATAAAAGTTTAATTCTGAATTCTGAGATTACAAGTGGAAATATTTTTAAACATTACAAAATAAACTTTCAGGTTAATATATTCATATTTTGAGTTTTTTAAAAATTATTTTTAAGATTAGCTATGCTTGCTGTTGGAAAGACAGTAGTGCGAGTCTCTAGCATGAGAGTTTTGCTCTCAAGAAGTCCAAAACTTGCTCTTAGAAATTATGCTGCAATTCTGAAAACAGAATTAGTCTACTCCTATTTTAACTATTCCATTAAAGTAACCAATTGTTTTCCATTTCTGTCCCTTTGTTCCTCATATTTATTGATTCACACATTACTGCCATAAAAACAGATAGCTGTAGATTTAAGATTTGTTATCACTGAACAAAGGTAAGTTCTTATGTCAGTGTGCTTCAGGAGATATTTTTAAAGGGGTTTCATGGCATGAATTTATTTTTCTTCTATTTTCTTTTTTGAAAAAACTCAGTAATGAGTTTCTGAACTACAGCATCAGTTTTTGGAACACCGAAAGGAACATTAATTTTGGCACAATGTAACATCTTGCTCGTAGTGGGAATAGAGGACAGTTTTCATAACTCAGTATTAATTTAATACTGTAACACAAGTATTGGTAACTATGTATTTCATAATTTAATCTTTCATTAATTAACCTTTTTATTAACTATGTAATTCCCCTTAACTGTATGTGAAAAGGTCTGTAGTCAGTTTAATAGAAAGAATAATTATAGAGAAAGCTTTTAGTATCTTACTTCTGTGCCCAGTACAGGCTTTCTCTTCCCTCCATGTATACCTGCAGTTAAGGATTGATTGAGTGTTACTGAATCAATTCTCTTTCATCTTATTACAGCTTGATTTTTTCCTGATACAATTTCTATATTCCTGGCAAAATTTCTATATCACCAGTATAATTCCTGGTATAATTTCTATTTCACCAGTGTTCTCCACACATAGTGATATGCTATATATTCTATATATATATATAGCTTTTTAAAAAAACTGGTAATGTAAGAGATTGTACATAATTATTTTCATCTGGTCCTCAAAAAGAATAATTTCGTGTACAGAAACTAGAAAATAAACCCAGCACAAACTAAATGTACCAAGTAGTACATATTAAAATAATTACCACAGTAATTGAAAATTCCTGATCTTAGTCCTGCCATAATCAGTTAACCAGAGGCTATTCCACAGCCTCTGGGATTTCTCTGTTGTCCACAATAAGGGTATGAATAATTCCTTCCTTTCGTTTCCCACTACTGACAGCCTTAATGCAACAGCTATGATCAGCAACAGTGAAGTGAGTTTCAGTCCCATCTTCCACAAATTCACCCTGGGAGAAAGGAAACAAGAATAAAAACAGATACGTGATATTTTAATAAATGAGAAGCTTGAATGCATCAATATCAAGATCACTTGCAGTTCCCACAGTATCAGCAGCTTTAGGTACCTGTGACAAACAGTGCCTGAAAGCTGAACAAAGCTGCTGAATCTCAGGCAGGGCTCCATCAAGGTGCCTAGTCAAAGATTTGTGGGTATCAGATGATGATAAAAATGTCACACAATCAGAAATTGTAAGGTTGGAGTTGGTGAATCAAACTGATTCACGTCGGTAAATAAAAACAGAAAAGGCAGCATCCTGCCAAGCTGTGCTGCACAGCCAGTAGGTGCCACACAAACCTATGCTCAAGTGGCAGTGAAAGATGGAAGTGTTGAGGATGACTTCTACGGCAGATCCCTGAACTGAGCACAACAGTTGTGTATCTTGGATACACATCTCCTGCAGTTCTGTAATTTCCTGTTACAGATTTTACCAGGCATGGCTGTATTTTTGTCATGATGTTTGTGACAGCAGAACTATGTGTTGCTCTAATGGAAGCACAGTTTGGCACTTACCCTGCACTCACAGCTTGCAAGGACACCTCTGAGTGCTTTCAGTACATTGTAGAAAAGGATGAGCCACCAGGAGCAAGAAGCCCTGATTTACTGGAAGAGGAGGCTTCTTCCACTGATTACTAAGCAAACATTTGGTGAATCTTTTCATCCTACTCTCAGGTGCAGCAGAACTGTTGATTTTGCCATTTGTACTCATCCAGGGGCTTCCTTGTGGCAGCAGTAATAACTTTCCCGCCCCCTGGTGAGAAAGCACATCCTTCAAGAATGGGGAAGCCTACCTGGTGTGCATATTGAGAGCCATCATAAGCAGAAAGACACCAAACAGATTAAACCACCCACCTGCCAGCCTGCTCTGGAAATTAATGCAGATGTGATCAAGATAAAACTTTTGACTTGTTCCAACGAGGCTCTTAAGCCCTAAGTATTAGGAACATCTCAAGATGGCAAAAAACATGAGTCAGACTATGTGTTCAGCTTTCAGTGACAACTATTACAAGCAGATTTGGATGCAGTAGCTCGACACTCTGCATCAAACTCAAATCCTTCCCAATCTCCAGGAAGTTTTCTCCATAAAAACCCTGCACAACTGACTCAAATTTATTTTGTTTGTCTAAAAAGGGTAAAGAAAAGCATAATTTACCCTTAAACTAGCAGATGTTAGACATATGAACTGAAATACTGCCCATTGTAAAATTCAGTGAGGGTTATTTGGAACAGACCAGAAGCATCCTGGTTGCCTTAGCCTCATTGGTAAAGGGAGATAATGTGTGCTTTGGTTATGTATCCATAGCCTGGGAAGAGCCTTTGGAAAGGATCACATACCGCTGTTTCCATTTTTTGACCGTTGCACCACACATCCATGGTGTCCTTTTCTGTGAAGGAAAAGGAAAACAAGGTAGAAAGAACAAGGTACTTTTTTTGTCACTATTGACAATGATCTAGGGATTTTAAAAATCTACTGTGGAATTTTACTTTCAATTCCCAAATGAAGTTCCTAAGTAGCTACAGGGTTTGTTCTCATGGAGAGAGAGGAGGCTCTGTCATCAACTTTTGCTTTGAAGATAGACTTTTACCCCTCCCTAACCCTGGCTATTAACACTGTGTTGTTCTGAATAGTGCCAGAGATACTGACAGTCTTAAACTGAAAAAATTAAGACAGAAAAGTGAAGTAATTTCTGCTAATTCTTTGAGTGCTGGTTATTCAATAAAGCTCTCTTTTTTTCCAGGTCAAATTAATTAAAAAGCAGAATTATTTGATTCATCAAACTGCTTGTATTCTTAATATTTCAAAAGCACAACTTTAAATATCAATCTTAAGAGTTGTTTTTGGACTTGAAACAGAATATTCTTTTTCTTCTCCCAGCACATCCTCCTTAAAATACTTTGCTATAGAATTCCCTTTACTGACACTGTCTTTGACACAACATCAGCAGAGAGCTGAACCCTGCTTGCCTTTCCAGTAAGCATAGGGATATTAAAATTCTGTGAAGACTTATCTGTTTCTGGCACTAAAACTGTCTTTCTTCATTGCTTCCCTTCATCTTAGGGCAGTTCATTCTGTCCTGAGGTTTAAGAAGAAATCATAGTCTGAGATCTCTTGTCTCCAGCTCTAACCATACAGCAATACCCAAGTGGAAGTTTTCCCACTAGATGCCACAGAAAAATTCCTCAAGGGATCATCCCTTCCTCCCACCTGCTTGTAATGTAACTGGGAGAGAGGGGGCAGAAGAGAAACAATGTATTGGTAGTTGTAATTTACCATTAAGAAAGTGAAAGAACATCACTGGAGGGTTTTAGTTTAATTTTGTACATAAGAAGTGATACAGAAAAAAGGCTGTTCATCAATCTATCCACATGTCAAAAATGTGAAATAACATTGTTGCACTTCAGATGAAGACTTCTTGACCATGGCTGATGATTTTTGGAAGGAAAACCTGGTTACCTGCTGAACAAACTTAGACCCACATGAGGTTTGATCACAATGAAGGTAAAATTTTAACAGTCTTCACCTGAAGAACTGCCTTGCTAGGGCAGCTCTATGGATGCAGCAGCAGTAACGTCTCCCAAATCTAGACCACACTGCTGTAGACTCACACATGTATAACAAGTCATTACTTGTCAGACTATCTTTGGCATCTCATTCCAAATTTCCACATCCCCCAGGATTTTATACCGCATCAGAGCTACCCACTCAACTGTGCTTTCTTAATTACCAGTTTTTAAATGCACAGAAGTTTATTCACAGGCAGCAACATGTAGTCACTCAATGTTTACTTACCTAGAACAATTCTATAGTCTGTACCTCCCAAGTTCAATATCCAAGTATTGGTTGTTTTTAACCTGTTCTCTATATACTGCTTGAGACTCTTTCCATTGATCTCCAAAGTGTATTCATATGCAAAGCCACTGACTGCATCAATGTTAATAGCAGCTTTAGTTTTAGTAGCTCCAACAGTGAATGTTTCTTTACCCACTAATTTAAACATCCATTCTCTTCTTATTTCTTCCTGTAGAAAAAAAAGACAGTGGATATTAATTGAAAAAACTGAGTGCATGTTTTAATATTAAAAAATTGAACTGGAACTCGGGAGACAG